TTAGTTTTAAACACAAAACAAGTATTACTGGGCTACACTAGCAGCTGCCTTCACTTCTGCTTCAGTCTGTCTGGGAAATCTGTATTTTCTATTGAAAACTCAGCAGAGATTCATTCCAGTGACCAGAAAGACCTGGGAATCACTGTCCTCGGGAGTGGCTTCTCACCTGGATGAACATTACAGTCACTGAGGAACCCTAAGATATCGTGATGATTAGGCCACACCCCAGAGCACAGGAGCGAGTACTCTTCAAAGCCCCCAAGTGACCCCCAAATGTCAGCGTATCTCAAGCTGATGACCACAGGTGAGTGGATGATTCCCAGGCCCCTCCTGTTTTCAGGAGTGAACACAGTTGCAGGGTGTGTTTCCTGTTCATTTCCTGCCTCGCTTTGCCCTAAAAGAATTACTTTTTCCACTATGATTTCAATCGTAGGACTATCAGTCTATAATGGTTATGGTTTCATGCTTTGTTAGAATATATGAGAAATCAAAGTGGCAAATGACTTCTAGAATTTCACCTACTGCCACCCCTTGACCTAGCTGGAGATAGCTTCTCTATTTGCAGTTCAAGTTGAGTTCAGATAAACTCCAGAATGTTATAACATTCTAGAGATTACACTGCCCTGTCTTCGTGTTTTCCTGGGATTCATCTTACGCAGATTTCTGAAGGTCTCTTCCACATAGATATGCGCTAAGGTTAAGATGCTAAACCAAAGGCACACAAAGTTCTAAACATGATTTCATCACAGAGCTAAAATGATATTCTAATAAAATAAGATCAGCATGTGTTTTTTTTCTACCGTTTAAAAAAATGTCTTTCCTATAATGTCTAAAGCAAATCATTCTAGATTATGTAATAGGCTTTAGAGATAAGTATTTTTCTAAAACAAGACACAAAAACAAAAATTGGTTTCTATTTTTGATTAGATAAAAAGCAATGTAAAACACACACAAATTACCTACTCTAGAAATGTTTCTATAATTTTTTCTCTAGTGAATCTGGGTTAGTTTTGAATATTTAATACCTAAGAAATGAGTGTAAGATATAAGTTGTCTAAAATCAGTGTTTTCTCAAGAGGGATGAAACTTTTGTTTAGACCCTTTCAGAGAGTTGTGTCAAACTCCTCTAGACCAGGCCTGCATAGTTCCTAACTTTTTGGAACATCTAAAGGCACAGTGATGGAATTCAGACATGTTTTCCCAATGCACAAAGGTGAATGATCCCACACCTGGATCACGTCTACACTCAACCAGGCACTCTAACCAACTGAGTGGAAGAGCTCAGCTAACTGCGAGTGTGTAATCAGGACCATCTGGGCAAACTAGAAGTGGTACTATTTATGTAGCCATTTGCTGGAAATCTGTCCAGCTGTGTAATTCATAAACCCAGAGCAGCAAATAATTCAGACATACTAGTTAATGCAAACACAAATAATTTATTTGTAACCCATCTACTGGACTCAGTTGTGGCATAATAAATATTTGCTGGATGAATTGAATTTTGTTTCCTTTGAAGAAATAGTTTTAGACATGCACTATAAAGTTCTGTGTTGAGGAAGTTGTGTACAACCTGCTGCCTCAAGGCCACATATGGCTCTCAAGGTCCCCAAGTGCAGTCCCTCAACCAAATCCAAACTTCCTTTTTATTAAAAGGATTTGTCTGTAAAATTTGGATTCAGTCGAAAGGCCTGAATCCAAAAAGGGATCCAGAAAGCCACCTGGCCCCAAGGGCACAGGTTCCCCCACCCCCTAAACATATTCATGGCCAATCTCAAAGCCACTGTCTCCTAAATTCCTGAGCTCACCTGCAGGTAAGAATAAAAGAGGCACGTGTGCTGTGAAAATGAAGATTTTAAGAGAATTTACTCCCCTAACCTGCCTGTTAATAGTAACATCCCCAACCCTGTGCTGCCTGGCCACAATATATCCTCTCACTAGGCCTTAGCATTTTCAGTCCACATTCTCACTTGGCTAGTGAACCTACTACAACAGACCTGCAAATTTATCAGAATCCTCTCTCTCAAAAACAGCTACCTGTGCAGGGGTTAAGGAGCTATCACTACTCATACCTCAGTGGCAAGAACACAAAGACCCAGCACTCCAACAACTTAAGAGGAGTTAGGCAGGAAAAGGAAAGGCATAATTTTAAAGCTCATCAAGGTTGTTAGTTGAAGAGAGTGGGAGCAAAAAGATGACTTTGAAAATGGAACTCAAAAAATGTTTAACTCAAAAAATTTGGTGAAATACCACTCTTATCCAGGAGAGGAGGAGGAAATTCTTGCTTTAGCTCCTTCCTTCCTCCTTGTTCCAGGACTCAGAACTTCTGGTTAGTTGAGTTCTATGGTTAATTACAAGACAGTAAAGTTTATTTATTTATTTATTTTGAGACAGAGTCTCACTCTGTTGCCTAGACTAGAGTGCCATGGCGTTAGCCTAGCTCACAGGAACCTCAAACTCCTGGGCTCAAGCAATCCTTCTGCCTCAGCCTCCCGAGTAGCTGGGACTACAAGCATGCACCACCACGCCCAGCTAATTTTTTCTATATATTTTTAGTTGGCCAACTAATTTCTTTCTATTTTTAGTAGAGACGGGGTCGTCACTCTTGCTGAGGCTGGTTTCGAACTCCTGACCTTGAGCGATCCACCCACCTTGGCCTCCTAGAGTGCTAGGATCCCAGGCATGAGCCACCACACCCAGCCAAGACAATAAAGGTTAATAACATCATTTCTATGAGGAAATGAAATTCCACTCAATAATCACTTTTGTAATTAATTAATTTAATCCATTGCCCATGCTAGATAGAAGGAACCTGATTAGTTTTGGATCCATTCACCTCATGTTATCTTAGGATTTCAGGAAGCAATGAGTAATGACAATGTGCTATGGCTGGGGTTCCACACCCCCAGCCTCACCCCCACCCCCCCCCCCCGCCTGAAGTTCACGGTTTCCAAACTTAGTATGAAGCACTCAGCCTCGTATCACATCCCCCACTTACATGGTGACTTGACTCTTACCACATGTTTACATTATTAAATCTCACTGAGCTTTTTGGAGTCAACCAGAGGTGCCCAGGTCCTTTAATAAAGAGAGAAAAGGACTGAGAAGCACTGATGCCCTCAAGGCTTCTTGGAATCCCGTGCAGCTGGTGAGGATGTGAAGACCCAAGGTCAAGTCTCACTTCCGGTGAGAACAGGTCTGGGCAACAAACCTGGGCAACCTCTGTGCCTGAGCTCTCGCTAATAAAAATGGCCAGGTGATGCCCACCCCCACTCCCGTCCCTTCCAGCTCTAAATTGCAGAAAGACTCTGGATTCTACAAGCTCTTCTTAGGACTATGAGTTTGGCTAAGAACATCTTACCAAATAAACTATCTTCACTTGTTTAAAAAACATGGAAACATGATTTTTTTTTAAATTCCCAATTACTAACAAAGCAAAGAAATCTCCTATGGTTTTTAAAATCATAAATGTATACATTTTCATTCCAAACACATAAACCATGAGAAATACTCTTTCAAAACTCAAACTGTCACCTTTTAATAAGAGGAGTGCCCGAGTGTGCCTTGTAAGGCCTGGGCCCTGAAAGCCAGGATTCTCCCTCTTGCCACACACACCCAGGTTATAAAGTCAAACTCCTATATAATCATTAGCTTATTAAGCAGATATCAAATTCCATAGACCAAACATCACCCATTCAGAAAATTCAAATTTCTTATGGGGCAGGGAGGTGACTCATGGGACTTCAATGTTCTAGCAGCAATATAAAAGGGAACCGTTAATAAAATGCAGCCTAAGCAAACACCCCTTGACCTCTCTGGAAAACACCAGCAGCAAGAAGTCACCGAACTTCTTCCTGTGATGGACACTTTGTGTATGTGTCAGTGCTACTTACTAAGTGAATTTTTAAAAGATTTCATAAAGAGTCAGCTATGTTCACTACTCTCCTTTTTGACCCGTACAATAAATGTACATGAGCCCATATGTATATACACTCCGTAATATTAAAATGTAGATTTCAAAAGCAAATTGCCTACCTGGGTAGCACCTGACTTCCATTCATATTCAAACAACATCTTTCCTTTAGTTCCTGAGAACTCTGAACAAGTACACTTTTACCAAACAGATCCAAAAGCAAAAAGCACACAGAATGTAACATTTTTAAAGGTAACAATAAAAATTGTTTATAACTTTAAAACTAAAATCAGATTATGAACCACAGATTTTAGAAATGAATTTGTCTTGATTTTATGCCTGTTTTTATAAAAAATTCATCCTTTATTTTTAAAAAAGACATTGAAAATACACATTTACTTCACATTATTTTTAAAGGAAAACATTCAACAGGTAGAATTAAATTATATTGTTCTTAAAACACCTGATTTTGTTTTCTTAACGCAGACTTCTGGAACTTACACTAAGCTTATATAATTTGTTCTATTTTATATCTTGTAACAAGTGAGAAAATTCTAGATTAAAAAAATTCAGAAATTTATATTTTTCCCACATATTTCAAGCTTATGAAGATTTTTTTGTACATAATCACGAAGAAAGTAACTACAATCACTCACCATAATATATCAGAATAAAATGCCAGTTTCAAAATATTACCTTAGCTTTCGAAAAATTTTGGTTGGAACCAAAATAAAACCCATAAAAATTGTAAATGATTTTTATACCTCAACTACTATACTTACATGCAAAGAGAATGTGAACCCTAGTTTTAAAAAATTCTCATTTTAAATCAGCAATTTCATTTTTTTCTAGGCAGAAAGCTATTTACTAAAAAACAACAAATAGAAAAACATAGAAAGATGGTGTAGGGCAAGTAGCAAAAGATTTCTGTTCTATATAACACTTAAAAGTTAACAAAATTCACTACAACATTATATTTTCCAGGTTAAAGGCATTAGCCACTTTCTTTTGGTGGGTGCCCTTCCCTCTTCTCTCAGCAGCATCCAGATTGAGCAGGCCAGGGGATGGGGACAATGACAGATTAACTCACCAGGATACCAGGAGAGGCCTTGTCATGGTAAACATCTTGAGTTTTACTTAATGAGCCTTCAGGAACCTTCTCTTCATCTTCACTACTTTCTTCTAGGTAAAACATCTTAACATTGAACTAGCTTATCAAACATGTCTTTTTTCGAAGATGAAGGTATCATCAAAACAGAAAGTTGCTCTCCTGACAAACTGAGTGCAAACTGTTTGCAGACACAGCGATATGGTTAAAACTGAAAGGAAATAGCTCTTTAATAAAGAGCAACACGTATACGACTTTACCAATGAGATTTGCTCAAAATGCCTCAACCCCTCTCCAAAGGAGATAAGCAGGGGCATGGGACAGAGTGTGCCATGTGTTTACACTGATAGGTACCAAGACTCGCCCAATCACATGACAGCCACTGAGGCTTCCATCACACAGGACAGGGATTGAGTTAATAATTCTCTAAAGCAATCACATCCTCACTTTTACAAATAGAAACAGCTATACACATGGAGAAGCAACCTTATATAAACAAACCACGTGAGGGAAATAATTTACATACATTTCTGAGCATTTGTGAGCTTCCCAAAGTCAGCCAATTCATGTAAGCTTTACAGAGCCCAACTACTAAACATTATTACTTTGTCATACTGGCATGACCCAGTATGTTTTCAGAATTCTGGAAGATACTCTGCTCAGCACTGTAAATAACAAGCAAAATTTGATTTCTAGAGTATGATAATGCAACACTGTAAAACTTAAAACATTCCTGGTATTTCCTTGCCAGCTCTCAGTAAGTCAAATAAAGTAACTTTAGCTGAATTTTGCTAAAAACATAAAACATACTTAATATACACGGACAAAATATATTAGATTTCTGAATTAAAATATACTATTTTATTCAAACTATCATCTAGGATTGTACTGCTCATTACAAATAATCACCAGCAACAGAGCCCAAGACAGAATGTACTAGGGGAAGAAAGACTGAGGCTGACAACAGGAGGAAAGGCCTAACAAGTGAAGCGCAGTGCAGATTCTAGCAGGGCAGAGGTCACTGGGCAGTACTCTGTGCAGCAACATTTGCCTCAATTGCCTCTTACACAACAAGCAGCCCCCAGGCCAGCCACTTGGTTTCCTGCTAGCCTTGGTTTCATTTCACTGTTTTGATCGATGACTCACAGAACGTCCTGGCTGCAAGGGAGCACGCACCATGGAGCCATTAAGAGGTGAGCTCACCTATGTGGACACCAGGCACGCACCTACAGTTTCTCCCTATGGCAACTTGTGAATTACTCTGACCCCCCAAGGCTGGCACCCAACTTTCTGGTTCCAGCTCACCACCTGCAGGGTGGCACTTTTCAGTCTTGGTCAATAAATGTCAAAATCACAACCAACAGTGCTTAACATCCCTATAATTTTCAAAGGAAAATGCTACTGTAATGTCATATTTTTTCTCTACAGGCTAAAATAAAAATAAACAGCAGAATACTGAGAAAAACTACTTTTGCATAGCATCTTCAATGATCTTAAATAAATAAAAAAAGTGGTTAGAAGTTGGAAGCTTTTTACCCAAGACCTAAATCCTTCAAGAAATAGTCTAAGGAAACAAAACTAAAATGCTAGTCAGGAGACCAGAATCTTGTTCAGATTCCACAACTGATGCTTGATGCTAAGTAAAATATATATTTGTATCTGTTTTTCTAATACTAATCCCTTAAATATATCAGACTAGGTATAAAGGATTTTTAAAGAAAGTATAAGTATTTATTTAAAACTTCCTAACCTGAAATTTGCTTATTTGAAGTTGTGCTAAATTGGTTAAACAGAAATACCTTTACACCAAAAGCTATGTCCTCATTTTGCCATCAAACATGAAAACAATTGTACTCTCCCACAGTGCCTGTACTGTGGAAATGCAACCCCTTCCTCCTGGATTACCAATAAAGATGTGAGAAAACTAAGCTTTGATTAGTAAAAAATCATGATGAAAATATTTTTATATTTTCATAGCCTCAATTACAAAGCCTCAATTACAAAGAATTTCATAATATCCACCATTATTATTCTATAGTGAAAGACTTAAATGCATTTTTGCATGTTAAAGGCTACTCATGGCAAAGGGACCTATATGTGAAAGGACCAAAACAAATCTGTTTTAATTTAGAGTCAAATGGTTCTCTTATCATCTACTCTAAAGCATATGAAGTGTTTCTTCCCCTATCTAGAATTATTTCAAATTCACTGTTTAAACTGTGAAAACAACCCCAAAAGGACTGATAGGTTTTATTCAAAACCAAGAGAAAACTCCTCTTGCTATCACTCTCAGGTTTTTCAACAATCTGTAGTTTAACTGCTTATTGGATAACGGCTATACAGTTTACTCGCTTCCAGTGTCTCAGAATATCCTCACACAACCCCCAAACTCTAAATAGGATAGCTAATGACTATTCCACTGAACTATGAATAACTGAATGCAAACAGATATTTCCAGGAACAGAGGAGAAAAGACAGGAAGAGCCTCTTGAGGTCAGAGGCCAAGCTTAAAGTGACTCTCCCAAAGAAAAACTTCTTTGAAGACCTATTTATCTTTAAAATTCACACATTTTGCATTATACTCTGGTAAGTCTACTTCGTAATATGAAGAAAAAAATAACTGGCCAAAGTTTACCTCTATCAAGTTCAAGGGTTAATGTACCACATTTAATGTAAGGCTTAGAATATCTCTCAGTGTACACAGCTCCATTTAAGGAGCTTAGAACTAAACAACCTCTGAGGTCTACCCCTTTTGACACCAATGTTCTAGGCCAAACTTTTACCAATATTTTGAGATGAGAGAGAATACTGAAAGTTACCTGGCTGAAGCATTCAAGTGTAACTGACCATTAAGAGTGTAGAGCTAAACAGCCCAGGTAAGAATCAGAATCATGCCCTGACTTCTGTGTCACAACTTCTGGACAGAGCTGTGAACAAAACAAAGCGAAAAGTGAAAACTCTCTGGGCTCCTGGGGCAGCTTCACAAGGATTGGGGTAGTAGGGAAAGCAGGGGACCTATTAAATGCATAATCGTTTCTGTTTAAATGTTTGTCTTTTTCCTCTCTCATTTCACCTCTGAATAGCAGTTTGCACAGTGATGCAAAGCAGTGACACCAGAGGTATAAAGAAACTAGAGCTATATCAACCCATTTCACTCTAACTCAAATCTTATTGAAATCCAAGTCTTATTACTGTCAAATTTTAAAATAGCAAATAATTTTATAAGTGTGGCAGGTTTGTCGGACCCTGGAGCCTTTGCTTTTAACCATATTGTTGATGTTTAATTAACAGTTTGCTCTTTATCATATTAGTAGGCTTCAAGAAAATACCACCCATGCAATTGGAGTTTTCATTTTAATAAAAATCATCATGACTGCTGCCGGAAAGAGATGGCTGACAGTATAAATTATTGACCTGTGGGCCTTAAGTGGGCCTCTAAAAAAGCCATCCAACCCTGCTTTGTTTCTGTGGTCAGCTCTCTCCCCAAATTTCTGCTTCTTTTTCAAACGTCCATACTTCTCAACCTCTGACTGCATCCTGCCACTCTATTTCCCCATCAGAATGTGCAACATTTCATATTGTTATATGTGGGTTCATTTGTGTTCTTCAGGAAATAGTGAACAGTAAAAATGGCTAAAATAATTTGCTATGAGAATAACTTAAGGAATTTACTTTTACAATGTTCAGAAAATTCTAATGCTACATTTAAATCTGTTACAAAGCAAGGATTTTATTTAACTGGTGAAATTTTAGTTAAAATGAGAGTAAACAGAATTCCTAGATTATTGTCTTCAGAAATTGAATCTGCCTACTTCAATCTAAGGTTCGACAAAGATGTATAAGGCAAAAATTGCAGTACTGATACTCAGTTTTATACATGATAATAGTTATATCACAGACGTACAGATGAAAGACAATTGCAGATGGAAGGAGTAACTGCATTCTCTGGAGAGGGTAAAGCCTGAAATAATGCACTCAGTAGTAAAAGAAAAAGAGGTAAGTAAGGTCATCTTTGCTACTTTTAGAAGTTAAATGCCTGTAGTATCTAAAATTTAATCTTAGAATGTCAGGACATTCTAAGGATCCAAAAAGCCAAGAGACGTATATAATCTAAAACCAACAACATTAGAAGAAATGCTCCCTCTTCTGTGGATATAGCACCACAGAAATACAAGTGCAGCATTTTATTACAATTTGTTTTTCTTTCAGATTCAACATACTTTATAAAAAGGCTCTCTGAGGAGCAGGACATTCAGTTTGTATAAAAATAATTAGCCTTGGCAACAAATTAATTTTGTTCAAGTTTTTAATGTATACTTTAATCATAAAACTTCTGAATGTGAAAAGGAGTAAGCACAAAACTTCTGAATGTGAAAAGAAGCAAACAAAAAACCTAAGCTAAATGTTCATGAAAAGTTATATAATAAACCATATATACATAAGTATTTACACTGATACCATATTAGAAAATACAATCCTGGCAGCTTAGCACTATTTATCTAGTACACACATCCTCAAACTACGGCCAGCGAGCTACATGCGGGTGTTTTTGCCCATTTGTTTTATTACTTCAAAATAAGATATGTGCAGTGTGCACAGGAATTTGTTCATAGTTTTTTTTAAACTACAGTCCGGCCCTCCAATGGTCTGAGGGACAGTGAACTGGCCCCCTGTTTAAAAAGTTTGAGGACCCCTGATCTAGTACTTACTCTGAGCCACACCCTGGAGTAAGTCCTTCACATATATTATCTCTGATCTACACAACTTCCATGAAAGACAGATTTGCTTTATCCCTTTATTTTGCAGATGAAGAAATAGAGGCTCAGAGAGGTTATGTGATATAGATCTCAGGTCAACCAGCTAGAACTCAAGATGTCTTTCATAGTACCCTTGGACTTATTAAATTGAAACTCAGATTTAACGTGCTAGGTATTTTTAAAATCTCAAATATTATGCGATGAATCTAAAATAATACCTAGAAATATATTTAACCAAGAAGGTAAACACTTATACAATTAAAATTATAAAACATTACTGAAAGAAATTAAAGATGACCTAAGTAAATAGATATCCGTGTTCAAGAATGGGAAAACTTAATATTGTTAAGATGTCGATGTTACCTAAAGTGATCTACAGATTCAACGCGATCCCTATCAAAATCCCCAAAACCTGAAATCCACATGGAGTTACAAGGACGCCTAAATAGCCAAAATAATACTGAAGAAGAACAAAGTTGGAAAACTTACATTTCTTTATTTCAAAACTTATTATAAGACTATGGTCATCAAAACAGTGCAGTACTGGCATAAAGACAGACATACAGACCAACAGAATAAAATTTAGAGTCTAGAAATAAACGCAAACATTTATGGCTGATTTTTAACAAAGGTGCCAAATCCATTCCATGGAAATAGTCTTTTCAACAGATGGTGCTGAGACAACTGGATTTCTACATACAAAAGAATGAAGATGGACCCCTATTTCACACCATATACAAAAAATTAACTCAAAATGGACCAATGACCTAAAACCATAAAACTCTTAGAAGAAAACACGGAGGTAATCTTGGATTTGGCAAATGACCTTGGATTTGGGAAATGATTCTTACATATGACACCAAAAGCACAAGTAACAAAACATAAAATAGATAAGTTAGATTTCATCAAAATTAAAAACTTTTTTCCATCCTTTGACATTATCAAGAAACAGAAAAGATGTATAGAAATGGAAGAAAATATCTACAAACCATGTATCTGGTAAAAGTTTACTATACAAAGCATATAAAGAATTCCCACAACTCAACAACAGAAGGACAATCAACTTAATTAAAATACAAAGGATGTGAATAAGCATCTCTTCTTTGAAGATCTACAAATGGCCAGTAAGGACAAGATGCTCAATACCATTAATCATTAGGGAAATGCAAATCAAAACCATGATGAGATACCACTTCATATTCACTAGTACAGCTATAATTAAAAAAAAAAAAAAAAGGAAAATAAGTGAAAAGAATGTAGAGAAATTGAAACCCTTGGTGAGAATATAAAATAAAATAGTATTAGCTACTGTGGAAAATAGTTAGGCAGTTCCTCAAAAAGCTAAACATAAAATTACCATATAATCCAGCAATTCCACTCCTTGGTCTATACCTGAAAGAACTGAAAACAAGAATTCAAACAAGTACTTGTACACCAGTGTTCATGGCAGCATTATTCACAATAGCCAAAATGTAGAAACAATTGTCCACCAACACATGAATGAGTAAACAAAATTTATATATCCATATAATGGGGTATTATTCAGCCATAAAAATAAAGTTCTGATACATGCTATAGCAGGGATGAACCCTGAAGACATGCAAAATGGAATAAGTTAGACACAAAAGGACAAATATTGTATGATTCCACTTATGAAACAGGCAAAATTCATAAAGTAGATCAGAAGTTACCATGGGTTGAGAGTAGGGTAATGGAAACAGTGTTTTAGAAATAGTAGGATACATGCACAACATTGTAAACATAATTAATACAACTAAACTGTAAACTTAGAAATAGTTAAAATGGTAAGTTTTATATGTATTTTACCACAATAAGAAAATTATGCAATGAAATCCTAACTGAAACCTGAGACAATGTCGGTATGGCCCAGAGTTAAAATGAGAACATATTCATTGTTGGCAATAAATATCATCACCTTCCATTCCTACACTGTCACTAACTAAAGTTTTCTGCACTCAACTCTACTAAATAGAAAGCAATTAAGTATTTCCTACAACCTCATTTTTACCATGGGCATAGTGATTCCACAGCAATGACTTCAACAAAAAATTACACATAGTTTTTGGTTTATGTGTACCTATGCATAACAGAGAGCTGCTTCCTTTGGTCAAAACAATCACATTGGACCAAAACAAATCCACTTCTGATCTCAACTCAAATTCCTAAACTAAGCTTATAAACATCTAGAAGTAACCTTAAAGAATATATAGTCCAAGGGTAGTTTGTGCCATTCTCACTTCTAAGAACCCAGCTGAGCTCTGGAATGTGCCTTTTTTACAGAAAGGTACAAACCAGCAGCATACATGTAGACCCACACAACCAGGTACAGCTCTGTGGTTTGAGGATCTGCTGGAATCCTTCTATAGTAGGTGCCTCGCAGATAATAGGACAGGATCCCTGCCATCAAGGAACTCACTATGTAGGTGAGGGGCACAGGAAAGCAAATGGCTTTCTAAATGTGAATTCCCATTTCAATCAACAGCTCTACACATCTCTTTGTTTTGGCTTTCCAAACCATTTCCCCATTCCTTAAGGCCCATCCAACAAAACACTACTCCTCAGTCTATTTGTACAAATAGTATGAGTCTAATTCACATTCTAGCCCAAATAGTCAAAACAAGACTCAAATGAGTCAGAAGAACTATAGGGCTGGAAGGAATGACCTTAGGGTAAAAACTAGTGCTCTCAGATAGGCCTCCCCAATGCCACCTCTTTGGGCAGGTAAGGCATCCTCCCCAGTGTTTTCCCTTCTTCCAACTTTTGGTATAAAACTGTTTAGTCACACCTACACTCAGCATCTAACTCTGTTTAACATGAATGCTGTCTTTTAAATTAATCACCTCTGAAGGCTACAGTAAATTGATTCCAGTGATCCACCACTGTCCAGCATATCAGTGCTCCTCTTTCTCAAAAAACTATCTTTAAATTTGGGTGCTACAGTACAAGATAAAAATCAGCATCATTACTATATAGTCACACAACTCTTACAGTCCAAAAGTCAATATGATTCATCTCTCTGACATGCATGATTCACCAGATCTTACTCTGAATGGCTTCTGGCTATTTCAAAAAACCTAATCTACCTTGAACGGAAAAGATTTTCCACCACTGAGGATAAAAGGATACACTGCAAGGCTCTGAAAGCAGCTCAAAAAGGAGGGGATGTTTGAAAACATTTTCCAGAATGACATCATGGAAATGCATATCCTGCACCTAAAGTGGGCAATGTACAATTGTGTCCTTCACAGTTTCATGTGTTTTAATAGGATTACCAAGAGTCTCGTTAATATAATGGAGAGCAAATCTGAAGAACTTGAGGCAATTAGACCTTATGCGCAAACTTTAGACTTACTAAAAGTGTTACATCTGTTATTTATAATGTCCATCAATTACATCATCCATCACCTCCATTTCAACAGGCATGATGAAGCTACACAAAAGAAATGACTATTTGCTCACATCCCAGGACAGTATCTTCGCTATCTATCAAATACCTCATATATATGTATCTCCCAGAACAACAGACCCATGCTCTACCCCTTCCCCCTAGAGCATCACTCAGTTTTCCAAAGACCTTGCCAAGAGCATCAAGTTCACCAAACACTATGGAGTTTGCTTCAAACTCCAAAGCCAACTGTAAACTTCTGCCTAAGAGGTGCCAAAGTCAACACTTCATAAATATGTACATTTCATTTTTGAGGCTTGTATTTTTCTAAACCTAACTGAAATTCTAAGGAACATTAATGAGGGCAAAACTACAGCTGTCACCTAGGAGATATCATCAGAATGCCAGGCCACTGTGCCTGTAACTCTGCAGTATTCCCCGATTAAATCAAGACAGTGCCACAGCTTTAAAATGTGACTTCTGCTGCATAAACAATTCACCAACCTCACCTACTACATCACTCATTTAATGACTCCTGTAGGTAGAGAAAAGGGGTTCCACGATTACTGGAAGTATAATTCAAAAAAAAAAAAAAACCAAAAACAAAAACAAGCGCCAATTCATCAGCTTACTTAGCTGATGTCATAAAAGTGACCAGGAGAATTCCTCACCCTTATGGCATACACTTGGTTTTTCAAACACGTCTAATTTCTCTTGCCTTTAACTCTCAGGGATGCAGCCCCCAGCTTCCCCAAAGGAAGCCTACTAGATTGGGAAGCACAAATTCCCCATTTCTCCACTCCTCTCTGTGGAAGCACCTGGGTCTCTTTGTCTCAGTTACACAAAATATGGTGACTGTGAGGCCAAGAAGCAGGGACACATTCCTGCTTCAGGCATCCCGTGCCTGCATCTGCAAAGGGGCCTAGGGAAACGGAGAGAGGCTATGGAGATCAGGATGTCTTTCCCAATGACAATCAAGTTTCATGCCCTGCTTTACGGAGGGACCTCCCTTTCCTGGGTGGATAAAGGGAGAAGCTGTGGCCACTTCCACTGCACTGCTGCTATCAGCGCCACCGTCACTCGGGCTATTTTTAATGTAGCTTTGCAAAACACTCACCAAGTGAAGCTGTACCAGTGTGTTATCACAAGCTGACCTTCACACTCAGCTACCTCAACAAGAGAGAAAGATGTCCAAAAGCAACAGCAAGTCAGTGAAGCAACACTTGGAACGTTGAAAAATAAAGCTCGTTTCACTCACTGATCCTTTCAAGAGCAGTGTCTATTCTGAGAGCTGGGGATCAAGCAGTAAACTTGGCTGAAGAGTGCCTGCCCTCATAGTCCTTATATTCTAATGGAGAGAGAGAGAGATGACCAAGACAACAACATCGGTTAGACTGGAAC